AACATTTTTTTGTGATGTAGCTCAATAAAAGGACTTCTGTTGTTCCAATGTCTCAATGTTATGTTATAAAACAAATGGTAAACGCCATAGCGAGCACTATTGAGTTATGGATGCACTTGGGAGGTTTGCTAAGCACTCAAGAAGCTTAGCAACCTCCCGCGTGCATCCATAACTCAATAGTGCACGCTATGGCGTTTACCATTTGTTAAATAAGAGTAGCTAAGAGTGGCAACAAAATGAAATTCTAATCCTTACAAATTCAGGTGTTATTGCCTTAGAAATGTCAGATGACTTTCCCAGTTCTGAGATAAAGATAAAAAAATGTTTTATATTTAAAAAATGGAGCAGAGACCAAGTTTACAAATCATTTTGTGTAAAAGCTTCCTCTGTTTAAGAATTTTTAAAAAGTGGTAGAGATTCCACTTTAAGCCTTCAAAATACCTGAAGGCCTCAGACTGGAAGCCAGAAGCTTTACGACCTACGACTTTATTAAAATTCTTTTATTATAGGAAGCGTAGATGTTTTGATGTTGTTGAAGCTATACACACCAATTAAAGTAAGTACTAAGAAGAAACGTTCTTGAAAAACAAAATAAACTGTAAGCTGAGTCGTTTTCTCCGCGCCGGCTTCTTGGTTCGTGGTAAATTTCAAAACGCCTGATTATTAAGTATGTAGGGGCTTATGTTTGTATCTTATGCAAAAGCATGCACGTTTTTCCCATTATTTCGAAACCTCCCCGCCCCCCTCCTCACTTCTGATAGTTTAATATTCAGCTCGAAGCTTTGGCGTTTTAATTAAGTGTCGTAAAACCATCGGCTGAAATAAGCTGAAAAACACTATTTCAGTTAAGAAACTAGTTTTGTCGTTTGTTTTGACAGCCTAAATATTTAAAAGTAAAATGTCTTTTCAACATTTCGCATTCTCCTCAATTCGCCTCACAATATCGAAACATTGTTAAGCAGGCAGGTGGTGAGAATTAAGAAATCATCAACTTGGATATTGTCTTGATGCATTGCCAAATTCTCACAACTAACATTAAGGTTAGTATGAAGCAATCTTTCAGGAGAATTTATGTTTTGAACGTGGGACTAAAAACAGCTAAAGACAGTATTAGCTGCGCGCCGGTCATTCAACTATAATCTGAACGAATCGAAACGGAAAGTCAAGTTCAATATAAAAGAGTGTTCTGAGAGTGTCATGGAATGAACATGGCTCGCTTATGGCGTGGAATCCTTTTGTTTCTCGCAGGTTTTTCTTTCTTTATAGTAAAGGCTACTACGAAGAAGCCTTCTTCAAACTTGATCAAAATACAAGTTGAACCAGGCAAACAAAGCGAAGAACACTTTCATGAGGTTTCGGTGGATCAAGAACACGGCGGTAAGGAATCCTCGAAAGTTGATCAGTGAACTTAAATGACATATATCTGAGCTGGTAAAACAGCAAATGTTCTGTCTTAGCCTAATTCTCGGTCGATCCATTCGTTAATTTGTTTACATTTATCTGTTTAATTAGTTGTGTTTCCAATAATGGATACGATGACTTCGTGCATTTATAAGTTTACAATACAAAACAATAGTTTATCGTGTAATACACTTGGCTATGTGGAGTGTGACATCACATGCACGATAAAATGACACATCAGATAATTTTCGAGATATCTGCTAAGCTTCTTCTAAAATTAAACCTTGCAAGCGCCGTAATGTGTCGACCCTCCCCGTCACCAAAGTGAATATTGTTCAAATATCGCAGTCTGCTCGACTGGATTGAAACTCAAGGGAAAATATTTATGAATTCCATAGGGTTTTCTTTATATTAGGCCCAATATCCACCCGTGTGTTTTCCACAGCCACTCATTCAATGTTCCTTCCTAAAAATGTGATAAAACACCAGCTCTACTCTGTACAAAAGGTCGGATTCGTAACTATCCAGCTCCCGCAGTTTCTGCTACATGGATCCTTCTCTAAACCCTCCGTTTGAATGCGAAGAGATTGCTGTTGATTCTTCCCATAGATCGTTTTCACTGTCACGCAATAAAAAAATAAATCGAAAACCATCCAGTGGAAAAAGCTATGAAATTATGACGTTATAGAAGATAACTAAATAAGCCACTTCTCCAAGTTTCAGGCCTGTGCGTTTCCCCAAACTTCAGATATTCGTCGAAATGTTTCGCCGATATTTACAGAGCCCAGTATGAAAACNATAGTGTAAACATCTGGAACTTACTTTGGCTATCTAGGCGACTGATTATCAGTACTGATCAAACAAACATTTACATAAGCACTTTTCCTAATGCTTTAAGTTCTAAAAAGACTGAAATCATGGGATAAGTATATATCTTTCGACAAACTCGATCATAGCCTTGTGTCACACACCTCCATAACCCTGAAATTCAAGATGCTCTGGATTCCAAACGAAGCACGCTATTGAGCTCTAAAATTGTAAACAGATATAAATATACCGCCTCTTGTGCCTAATGAGGACAAAAACTTTGGTGGCTCTTTCGTTTTGGATTTTAGAAAGTGATGACGTCACGTGAAAACTATCTATACTTGATTTTATGATAGAAGGAAAAAATTTCTCAGAAAATTGGGAATGTAGACGTCTACGATGGAAACGGTTTCACCTGTGAACACAACAGAATGAGCATGAATGGCCCAAGCAAGAAACCGAACCTCGAACGTTTCGAGCATCTTAATCCAGATTACAAAGCCAGCGCTCATGTAACTATAAGACCATTGCGTCTCTTACCCACAACTGAAATTCGACACTACATTTTCTCTTCGCTGTAGGTCAAACTAGGCGAAGAAGGAAAAGATCTCACGCTTGGTCATGGTGGAGCGGAAGAAGAAGAAGCAGGAGAAAAAGTTCTTATAATACCAGACCCCATTGTGAACATGAAACCCATGTCCACTTCAGAACCCGTTGTTGCTCAGGAAAATTCGTCAACGATCCTCTGCTGCAGACCTGCTGTGCTGGGCACATCGTGTCGAAGAACTTGGTCCCAGTTTTCTGCCACCCTTCGTATGGGTGTGGTCAATTCCGGTTTGATCTCAACAGCCAGAAATGTTGTTATGGTAACAGCACGTCGACGTGCAAGGACGTGGACCCGGCGTGTGGCTGGGCGAAATACAACTCGTCGACCCAACGATGCTGCGATGGTCGATATACATACTATATTACTAACCAGATGTGTTGTCACCGCCGTGTTATTTCCAGATCTAGGGCTTGTTTATTTTAGCCTAGATGTGAGCCGTAGCCCGAAGGGACTCCCTGACAAAAATGACGTTGTACTAGTCGGGCATTCAGGGGTTTAGATTTAAGTAATGGAGGATTTTTCCTTCTTTACCTAGCCTTGCCTAAACACGAGGTGGGATGGCAGAATTCGAGACAATTGAGCAAACCCGAGATGGAAGTAAGGGTTTACTTTACCTTTAAGAATTCTCCCAAATTCCCGAGTGTTTAGATGAGGCTATGTAAACATGGAAAAAAGTCCTCTATTTAAGAAATAGAAAACATGTACCGTGTTTCTATCTAGTCTAGCGTTTTATTTATTATTTTTATGAATGCCGTTCTCTGATTGGCTGCGCTACCCACTATCTATTCTGTTGTAGATAGTGAGTAGCGTAGCAGCGTGCGTTGTGGGCCGCTTCTCTGTGTTTTCGAAGTGTCTTTGAAGAGGATTTAGATTAAAGTTTTGAACGACTAGTAGATTTATACTAAAACAATTAGATTATTCACTTTCTATGCGCGATAGTTGACTCGGGCGGCGTCCTCGTCAAGTATCACACAATAGAAATCCCGAGCTCACAATCTAATTGTTAAATAGAAACACGATTTTCAGCCAATGAGCGCGCGTATTTTCTTTGGGCTATTTTCTAATGCTTTTATAATATGTTCCTAAAAACACAGAGACACACACATCTATCGACCAATAAGAGCACATCTCAATTATTTTATACTAGTCAATTGGTACCGCTTAGGTAGCTAAAATTTATAATAATGTGAATTATAGCGTTATCTTTGAGGGTAAATATAGTCAAACAGTTACTATAACAACTCATCAGTTTTTGATGTATATACTAAATAAACTTGATTTACAATTATGTTTTGCCTGATAGGAACCAATGTTCCTTTTTTCTTGTCCAGTGCTGACCGGCTGTCGTAATTCTTTTCAGCCACTTTCATTTCATTTCTCTTTTTTTCCAACGAAAATGGACGAAAAACAAAGAAAAATGGACAAACGGCAGAACAAAAACTTAACACAAGGGAGAAATTGAAAAATGGCGTAAACTGGGAAATAGGTTATTCGAATGACTTTTTTTGTCCCTGTCACCTAGTCCCGTCAAAATACGAAATAACAACATCGACGGTTGTTATACACAAGCGATTTCGCCGGCAAAGAGAGCTGAGTAACTCTGGGAATGAATAAATTTCTCGATGTGTGTTTACGTAATTTAAATTATAGTGAAATCGACGGTGGAAACCTTAGCATCATTAATTATATTGTGAACGTTAATTTTTAGCTTTCAGAGTGGATTTAAGTGTTATATTATACAAGTTAAGCAAAATCAAGCACCTCTTTAAAACCCTCAATACTTATCCGTCCGCGTCCTTCTTCCTGTAGTGCCGATTACTGAGACTACTAAATATAATTTCTCAGCTTACCAGATTAGACATCGATTCTCTTAATATATTTTTTTTCGGTTAAATTTGGTACAAAAATTAGTTAAGCGGAGTGCCATTTGTTCTGCCAAACCCCTGCACAGCTAGTCCAGCAGTGGTGGAATCATGAGACAACAATGTCACGTGATCAAAAGCACATGGAGAGTCCTGTACCATGTCAACAATTTCTAGCATGCAGTTTAGTTATATACAAGGAATCAATCAAATGATTGCCAGTTTGGTCAGTATGGATCAGGGATATTATATTTTTGTTTCCACGTTTATGGGACTGTTAAAGGGTAGGGAATCACTCACCCATATTAGTTTTTTTTAGAAAGGAATACCACTTACGAATATAAATGCATTTTAAAAAAACTCCGATAAAATTAGTCATGATATATCAACGATAAAAAAAATAATTCTAACAGCTATAGCACCAAATGTTCCTAAATTTATATTCCGCCACAAAAAGGCCAATTCAACCAAAAAGCTACTGAGATCTATCCGCATTGATGCGGTGGAAATATTAAAGGTTTTGTAAGTCAGAACTTTTATCCCGGCGGACAAAAAGAGCCCGAAATAAAAGTTTCCCATATTAATTATAATGATCTGGCCAAAAAAGAGAGTCCTTTGTTTTGGGGTCACGATATCTCCTAACTGATACAGTCTGAAGCGTGAAAATAAACCGGCCACTATATTATATCAAACACATTATGAAGACGTTTACGTTTTAAGCACCAGCAAAAACGTCATTATTGTGTTTATATATATATATAAAAAAAACCTTAAAGTCGGCGAATACAAAAGTCAAAAATAGAAAACTTTGTAAATATTGTTCATTGTGTATTCCCAAGGTTATTGTACATAAACGTCCAGTTGATGGACACAATCTGAACTAAACTAGAGAAAACAAAAATCATTTTCTCTCTTTCTATACCGTGAACCAAATATGCAAACAAATTTATCAAAAAGTCTAAAACAGAATGAATGAGGGGGTTAAGAGGGCTCCCAGTTGGTCTTGCTGAAGCAATATTTTATAGTACTGACTACTTTTTCTCCCTCGTTTAATTATAAATTTAAAGCAATATTATTTACTTACGTCAAAATCGAACAGTGCTTCTGTATTTCAATTGAAAATTAGTTTAGGGATTTATTACAATCACATCTGAAACAAGGATTAAAACATTTATTCATGCTATTATCTCGATGCTATCTGTACACACAACTGACTATCGATCCGATTGATCACCGACAAAAAATATAGACTTACTCTGGCTACACTATATTTTATAACTACAACCTGTCGTAGGCCTGCGAAATAATCTTTGTATTCAGTATCGCTGATCGACTTAGAAAAGCTTTTTTCACGGCACTGAGCAACTCGCGTCCAATTGAAACTTGAGAGTAGTTGACGTAAGAAATTCGAGAGATTTCAATGAACTTAGCTAATATACATCCAAATATTGCCTTTCAGTTGAGCGGTTTACCCCAATCGATCAAAGTGCAGTAAATTAATTAAGTTCAAGAATACCTCGTTCACTAAAATAATGTTCAAGTGCCTGTAAAACTCCATAAAAGATGGGCTTCAGCCAACGAAGATCACAGATTACAGATTACAGCACAACAGTAGAACATAATGTTGGCGCAAGTACTTCGCGGCATCATCTTCTTCACTGCGGTTGTCTCGCTGCTAGCAGTGAGTGCCGAGGAAGAAAAGCTTGAGAAGCTCGACGCAGAATTCGATGCGACGAAAAATGGCGGCAAGGTTGAAGAAGCCGAGACGCCATCTTTCGACAATGCAGTGGACATACAAGAAGGTTAGTTTTATGATTTCTTTCCTAGAGCGATGAAGGATGTACACAAATCTAAGTTAAACCAAATTGAGGAAACGAAGTTAGGTTTCTTGCGGGGTACGATAGGGATAAAAACACCGTCTGCGTAGGTTTGAAACGGCCCTTTTTTTCTCGGTGCTGTATAATTGCTTTCACGTCTATTTTTCAAGAGAATTGTTAAAATTTAATCTCTTGAGAGAATAATTCATCGCTAATCTCACAATTGGCTAGCTATATATCTACATGTAGACGTCCATGGTTGGTTAAGACTCTTTCTGCGTTGCGTCCCATGAAATTGCGTCCAAATTGACAAACACCTTTAGATCATTGTTTCAAAAGGTAGAAAAATAACAAAGAGATGATAATAAACCAAAACGGAATGTCGATGGTTAAAAATGAGGAACATTTAGATGGATCTTGAACAACGAATTTAAAAGTTGTAAACACGACGTTTAATTTAAAAATGAATCATCCTTGACAAAGCAGTTGAGCATAGCACGATCAAGTGTAAAGTCTACTAAGATCGTTTACAAAAATGCTTGGAAAAACGATGGGTTTGGGGATCAAAGTGATATAGCTAGTCAGTACAGTATAGTTTCTGAGCGGCTTAAGGTACTTACTACAAATAATCATCTTTAAATCTTTATCGCATGTTTATCGAAAATCGTAAATTACCACACTATTGATTTATAGGTCCTTTATAGCATACTTTAAACTGGTATTGGACCCTTCGGTGTAATTTGGTGATTAGAATTCCCCTTTCTTCTCGTTTTTAACCCATGGATTGCGTAACCAACCTACAGGTTATAGTGGTGGATAAGATTATGCAAAGCTAGAGTTGGTCGGTCGTATGTTAAACTTCCCATCGCAATTTCACTGTTTTTCGGGCATATATATCGTTTGACATCTCTAGGACAACGTGTAACTGCGAGTGTTGCGCTGAAAATGGAACTCAAACCAAATGGTTGTTAAAACTTCTGGTTAATTTCTCGAGCAAGGAAAGTGTTGACGGCAGCTTGTTTTAATTGTGTTAAAAGTTCCGGGTCATTGGTTGGTCGGGGAAAGTGTTAATTCGGAAAGTGTTTTAAATTCCTAGTCTCCGAAGAGGGTCACGAGAAGTTGGCTTATATCTATCAACACTGATTGTTTTGTATAACTAGTATGACTCGTAAGCCACATGTGTTCGCCATGCGGACCTACTTTTTGATATGAAACAAAAAAAGGTTAGCTCATGTCAGTCATCATTCACTGGGAAATTTACGGGTTTGCTCACTTTGATCTCTTTGATCTCTTTGTGTTTCAACCCACAAACCGAAGTGTGTAAAATTAAACATCTTTCCAAACAATAAGATTTTGTTTTTATTTTTCAGATATAGCGAAAAGGTCGCCCCAGTTCAGACCAAGACCTTATCTACCCCCGGGCAAGTGCCCATACGGCATGCGCAAGAGCCCTCGCTGTTGCGGTGGTAAATGGATCGACAATCCTTTTGTCAAAAAGTGCTGTCGTGGCCGCATCATTTTGACGAGCCTTGCCCCATTCTGCAAACGCATGTCAAAATGTGGTCGTTACTCGCTGTACAACCGTAAATATCAGAGATGCTGTAAAGGCCAAGTGATTCCCAGGAGCGTCAAGTGTAAACGGTTGCGCTGCAAACGAAAGCGCTACTACCCTTTCAATAAGCAATGCTGCAACGGCAGAGTCATCTCCAAACACGTGCCGTGCAATCCTTTCCCAACGCATTGTGGTGGGGTTAGCTATGATCCAACCTTTCAGAAGTGTTGTTCTACTCGGGTGGTGCCAAGACATATCCCCTGTTCGGCTGGAGTGCCTTGTGGACATGCTTTCTACAATCCTCGACGCCAACAATGTTGTAAGGGACAAGTGCTCCCAAGATTCAGACGATGCATTTCGTTCAAGTGTGGCGGACATAACTATAATCCAAGGACTCATCAATGCTGCAACGGAGAAATTTTCCCCAGGTTCCAGAGGTGTCCTGTCCCAGCTCCTCACCATCAATTTTGTGGGAGCAATTACATCAATCCTTCTTTCCAACGATGTTGCTTTGGAAACGTCGTGGCTCCCTTACGATCAACATGTCATAGGTGTGGTGCCTCATTGTTCATTCCATTCGGCTGCCGCTGTTGCCATGGAACCAGAGTTGTTCCTACATTTGTTCGGTGTGCTGCTCTTGGGTAAAGAATCTCTTTATCTCCATCAGACTGTATGGTTTTGTATATGTATGTTAGGCACGTTTACTTCGATAGGATAGGTAATTAATGGCTATTTCTTAATTAATTAAAGGATTTTAATACAATTACAGTAAAATTCACATCAAAAAGACAAGCTTAATATCACCATGTCTGGAGCTTATTTAAGTTATTTTATGTTATTTCAAAACACAAAGCACGAGCTGAAAACTAACAAAAACTGTTGAAACGTACGGTGTGGGAGGAGGGAGCTTAAAGAAGAAACTCTAAGGCGATGATACATATCAGGATCCTCCGTTACAGCACTTAACTGTAATAACGTTGCTGTCGACAGTATTATTGTTAAAGATATTCATCTAAAAATAAATATTAAAGAAAAGAACAGTTGCCACAGACATAATTTGAACGTTTTGACTTTTAATTGTCATCATTGCTGACATGATAAATTTTGATTTTTCTCTTAAATTGTTTAGATCCTTTCTTAATTATAATAGACGTAATAAGGACGATTTTCATTTACTTAGTAAGAAGTAATGAATGAGTTGCCAGTAATCGGATACCCGTGTTTGCGCGAAGAACTCTGGGATCGTCAGGGGGCAAACATTGCTAGTCGCTAGTAGGAAATGTATGGCGAACGTTGTTTCGAGGTACAAGAAAACGATTTTTGAGAGAAATCAACGCTTTTTCGCCGTCGTTTTTATCGCGAATGGATTTGGGCAATGTTGATATGTCGAATATGTAAGTTTTTGAAAGCTCAGTCATACAAATAATACTGGAAATAAGCCCGGTTCCTTGAATATATCTCTGAGTATTTGTATTTAAAAGTGCCATTTGTGCGTGATTATGCTTTCCAAAGTTTGGTTTTGACGATTGAGTGAAATTGCCCGACACGAAGGGTAGTAGTTCCTTCTGCAACTTTCGATTTCTGTTTTAGAGCTTCTTTTCTGTCTTTATATTTAACTTCTCGGAGGGTCTTTTCTACCATTCGCTCCGGGTAGCCTCTCGAGATCAGGCGTGTATTGAAATTTTCAATGTTCTCTTCAATGTATTTCACA